CCAGAAGGAACACACAGCTATCCATATTCCAGCAGCTTCTCCCTGGGTGTGTGCGCAGATACATGGCAGGATGTAAAAACAGGGCTTTCCACCCACTGGCCCCTTGAATTGTAAGAAACATTTTTCTATATCTCACGTGGTTTTTTCCCCTGGGGGGCCAGTTGTATTGAATGTCGGTGACCACCTGGGAAATGTATGCATTTTAATCAAATCATTTAGGATAAGACGGGGCTCCTTCCCACCAGGCCCTCACCATCTAGAGAAGTGTTGTCCAGTGTGGTAGCGGTTCTTGGGCATTTGAAATGTCACCCATAGTAAAATACACACTGTTTTTGAAGACTTAATAGGAAAAAAGAGTGCAAAATGCCTAATTAATAGGTTTTTTATTGTGAGTACATGTTGTAATGATATTTTTGAAATAGGGTGTTAAATAAAATGTTATTAGTATTTCACTTTTTTTTCTTTTTAATGTAGCTAGTAGAAAATACAGAACTGCACATATCGCTCAAATTATTTCTACTAGACAGTGCTGATCTAGGAGGAGCGTTGCTTTCTTTTGTTCTTTGGTTGGTTGGTTGGAATTTAGATTTTTGCTTTTTTGTTGCCATTAAGAGGATCTCCAATTTTGAGTTGAATGCTTTTCTAGGAAGAGCTACTTGGGTTCTGAATCAGTATAAGGGAGCCCTCAGTCTCTGTCCCATTTCATCTATCAACCAAGGAGATCATTATGAGGAGAAAAAGGTAACTTCTGTAACTCCCAGGTCCGAGCATGATTATAACAGAGTGAGCAACCCCCTTTAACAGCCTCTAGTGGATGAAGAAGGGAGTGAGCCTCGAGTCATTTTTATTTTACTGTTTAAACTTTTTATTACAGAAACATTTCAAATGTATATGAAAAGTAGTCAGAACATTATAACAAGCTGCCACGTGGGCCTCACGCAGCTTCAAGAATGACTATCTCTGGCCAATTTTGTTTTCTTTAAACGTTTAGCTATTTTCCTCCTTTTCCACTTCAGGGCAAACCTAGACATCATACCTTTCCGTCCACAAATATTTCAGTATGTATCTCGAAAAATTTAAGGACTCTTTGTAAAAAACAACATAACCTCAATAACATTATCATGCTTAAAAATTAGCAATAATCTTCTTTTTGCGGTACGCGGGCCTCTCACTGTTGTGGCCCCTCCCGTTGCGGAGCACAGGCTCCGGACGCGCAGGCTCAGCGGCCGTGGCTCACGGGCCCAGCCGCTCCGCGGCACGTGGGATCTTCCCGGACCGGGGCACGAACCCGTGTCCCCCGCATCGGCAGGCGGACTCTTAACCGCTGCGCCACCAGGGAAGCCCTGATTCAGTTTTATATATCTATGTACATATTCTTTTTCATATTCTTTTCCATTTTGGTTTATTACAGGATATTGAATATAGTTCCCTGTGCTATAAGATAGGACCTTGTTGTTTATTTTATATATAATAGTTTATATCTGCTGATCCCAAACTCCTGATTATCCCTCCCCAACCCTCTTCCCCCTTGGGTAACCATAAGTTTGTTTTCTATGTCTATGAGTCTGTTTCTGTTTTGTAAATAAGTTCATTTGTGTCATTTTTTAAAGACTCCACACATAAGTGATATGATATTTGTCTTTCTCTGACTTAATTCACTTAGTATGATAATCTCTAGGTCCATCCAAGTTGCTACAAGTGGCATCATTTCATTCTTTTTTATGGCTGAGTAGTATTCCATTGTGTATACATACCACATCTTCTTTATCCATTCCTCTGTCACTGGACACTTAGGTTGCTTCCACGTCTTGACTATTGTAAATAGTGCTGCTGTGAACATCGGGGTGCATGTATCTTTTTGAATTAGAGTTTTCTCCAGATATATGCCCAGGAGTGGGATATAGTAGTGTGTATCTGTTAATCCCAAACTCCTAATTTATCCGTTAGTCTCAGGCTCCTCTCACAGCTTGTTCACTGCACGGGCTTCATTCTCAGTCCCCATGTGTGTACAGTGTGGCTGTCATACCACCAGTCCCAGCCCCACACATCTTAGAAAAAGTCTCATTGCATCTCCTTGGTACGAAGTAGTCACATGCTCATCTCTGAACCAATCACTGCAGCCAGGGAACCGCAGGCTCTAAGTGTCCAGGGCTGGTCACTTTCCATTCCTGGAGCCCGGGTAGAGTTAGCCCAACTGAAGCCAGAAGAGCAGAAGTAGAGATCAGTGGATGTCTCTCTCCCCAGATCTGAGGCTCTACTGTAATTCAGAAGAATGGATGCTGGACAGCCCCAAAGCAACCAGTGTATACTCTATTTACCTATGCAACACACACACACACATCTTCCCACACATACAGTTTCAAAAATGCTCCCACATAATAAATCACACTCACCCTCCTCCCCAAAATAGGTGGCCAATGCAGGTCCAAGTCCAGCGCCGAGTGCACACTTTCCAGTCTTGTCCGTCAGTGCTGAAGGTAGTATCTCACGGTCAAGTGCTAAATTAAATTTAACACCCAGTATACAATGGTGGAGGGAGAGCAGTAGAAGAATTTCACAATTAAACTTCCATTTGGGAAAGGAGCAGAGACATTGCTCTCCTGTCTCTAGCATATTTTATAACCCACTGAACAGATTCCAGCTGTGTGGCAACGGAATGAGGACTTTGGTCATCCAGTGGCTTAACCTCCTGCTCTCTGGGTGGGCCTTCCTTATCTGTTGCCTTCAGAGCCGTCTCTAAGAGCAGGGCTGCCCCTGTTCCACGGCCTACACCCTGTTCTCCTGGCTTCGGGGATCTAGGGATTGACTTAGGATTTGAGCAATCATAAACTGTTTTCGACCGTTCTGGGGCTTTATCCTCTAGTACTTAGAAACGTGGTAGGATTCTCTAATGCCTGAACTCCATGGACTAGTGAATAAAACTCAGGATTTTGTTGAGTCGTACTCTTTGAATGTGAAGCCAAGCCTGGGCATTTCTGTCTCCCAGCAAATGAACCATCCTCTGCTCCCAAATTTTGTGGCCTCTGATTAGGTACAGTTTGAAACAGTGGCCTGAGGTGGTGAAGCCACTAATAATTTACTCCTCGCTCCTGAGATGGAAACCAGTGTATCACAATGAATGTCACGGGCCTTCTGCTCAGATGAGAGACCACAGTCTCTTTGGAGAGACGATGGGGAATCGGGCTTCTCCTAGGTTTCAAACCTCTTTCCTGATATTGTTCTTACCATCTGGCCTTGCTCTATCTAATGTTAGCATAGTGTTGAGAATTTGGGTTTTGAAACCCACAAAGCTCCAGATTTTTTGACTCTTCAACCATCTTGGTTGCACCTCACAGGAAAAAAAAAAGGCCTCTATTAACAAAACCCTTTTTCCCTGCCTCTGGGCTTCCAATCAGTTTCATCCTATGTTTATCTCTTTCCTGTGGCTCTCACTGAAGGCTGCAAGTAGCCGACACACTCCAACCTTCTAAATTTCATCTCCAAATCCTTTAACGGTACACCTTCAGGAGGCTCGTGGTCTTAGACCCAGGATTCAGTAGGTGGCACCATAACCAGCAGTGTTGCCATCACATAGCCGGGATGGTCAACCTCCTAGTGCAGGAGAGCCTGCACTAGCTGTCATCCAACCTTAAATCAGCCAGTTGCACATTTTAGGGTTAGTCACATTCAACATTCACTTCTAGTACTGATTTCTGTATCACGTAAGAGTGTTTGTATTGCCAGTGGTAGAAAACCTGATCACACTAGCTTAAACAAAATAGAGAATTTATTTGCTAGTGTAAGTTAAAAGTCCAAAATAGAGCTAGCTTCAGGTATAGATGGATTCAGCCAACAACGTCAACAGCTGGGTGTTCTCCATCCCCAGCTCCCCCACTTTGTTGGTCTCATTTTCAAACCCCATGTGGGTGAGAGGAAGAGTGAGCCAATTCCAGCCCCTCCATCTTCACAGATCCAACTCCAATCTCATCCCTCAGGAAGAGTCCTCTCCTCTGGCCACAAATTCCCTTGGTTCTGATGAGGTCACAGGCCATCGCCAAAAAAGTCTCTGGGGCCACATGAATGCAAGGATCCCATGAGCCAGCTCTTCGTGTATCTGGAATGGGAGTGAATTCCTCTGGACCCACAGGGTCTGGGAAGGAGGGAGGGAGGGAGGGAGGGATGGATGGATGTGTCTCCAAACGAAAACTGAAGGACATCATTGTAAGTAGGGTCAGTGGAGGCTGAGCTGCCAAAACATAAGGAAATGTATTGCAAATATTTCCCCAAGTAAAATTATACCAATTTATATTAGCAGGACATAGAATAGGACAAAATTTGTTTTTAATTTCTCTGTTTCTGAGATTATTTTTAAATGATCATCCCTCTATGTAGCTGTACTGATAAGTTTATGGGGAAGAAGTTAATTCCTTTGTTTCTGCTCTTTTAAATCACATAATTCCCATGTTTTAACAAGTTGCACGTAGAATTTCTCTTACAATAAATGCATACATTTAATTTGGTACTGTTTCCTTTTCCCCTGAAAAAGCTATAAGGGGGGTATTTTGCTATTGAAGAAGGTGGTGTTTTAGAATGGAAGGAATACAGTATTCTAAAATATGTTTCTACTACCAGGGAAATACTGAACCATAACAGGTAGTCATGGAAACACAACTTGAAAAACCAGAATTATAAAAAACAATTGTTCTTATATTTTATCCATGTCACGGTTGCCCTTATTCAGTCTCTGTTGATTTGGGGTCACCATAGGAGGGTCGCTGGCTGGGATTCTTTACGGCTTTACCCAGACTGGTGAGAACCACCGTGTTGTACTATAATCTCTGTCCGTCCTTCATTTTCTGTTTCTGTAGATTAACATGGAGGATTCTTCATCTGATTGGTCCGGAGACTGTTGATTATTGTTTTACTCTGTCATTAGGCTGGGACTGGTCTATGTATTGAATAGGGTGATAAACGCATTTAAAATTCTCTTTGAAGTCCAGGACTGTGATTACCTTTATTTGCCTCGGGGTCTCAATCCACTTTTCTTCGGCCTTTGATTATAATAACATCCCCAACAGCAATACAAACCCTACCCTCAACTGCTTCCCTCCACATCACAGCCTTCTCTCTACCCCTCTTCCTTCCACCTCTTCTTATGCTTATAGAGAGGAATTAAGTGAAATCCTCCTCTGAACTTAAAATGAGGCTTAAGGCCATAATGACACTGGACCATGGAAAGAGAGACCGGGCTTCTGGCACCAGCCCTGCTGCTGCCTGCTGTGTGACAGAGGCAGGTCACTTAACCTCTCTGGACCCCCATCTCCTCTTCTGTAAATGATGGTGTGGACTCTGATCTCTGCAGTCTCATTCATCCTTAAAATTCCTTATTCGGAGAAACTGACGCGGATCTGGGAACACCTGGGCACAGAGGAAGGGCAGAAAGCGCTTTCACGTCCAACACCTACACCCACTGCGGAGGGTGGCCTCCAAGGCCGCTTTGTCAGTGATGCAGTTGGAACCGCCCCCCACCCACCATGTGATCTCACCTTTGTCTCCATCTTTTCCTGCCTTATTTCCTTTATCTTTTCATTTCTTCCCCTTCCTTTCCGATTGGATTATTTATTTGTTTTTAACTTTCCTGACCCATTTTTCTCTTCCCCACTGCCCAGTGACATGAGCCACTTGCACTGCATGAGACTCTGCACACACTGCCAAGCCCCCCGGTTGGCTAAAGGGTTTACTGCTCATCTCCAGTGTCCTTTCCCTGGCAGATTTCCCTTTAACCTAAGCCTTCCCGAGAAGAAAGTGCAAGTCTAGCCTTGGCATTCCTTAGTCACTGCTTTAGGGGGAACAGCCTTAGGCTCTTAAACAAATGTTACGTTCTGGTAGAATTTTTAAGAGAGATTGATTTTCTTTTTCATTCAACAAATAATATTTATTGAGCACCTACCAGGAGTCAGATGCTGTTCTAGATGCTGAGGCGACAGCAGGAAACAAGGTCCTATGGAGCTTGAATTCTAGTGGGGAGGGATGTACAAGTAAATAAACAATTAAATGAAAAAATGTCAGGTGGTGACATGTGCAATGTATAAAAGAAAATGGGAGTAGAGATGGGACATGAGAGGGGGCATTTTTGCTGACAACTGGAAAATGAAAAGGAACCAGGGAGGTGAGTGTACCAGGTGAGAGGGCTTACAAGTGTCAGGGCCAGGATGCAAATGAGCTTGTGCATTTAAGGAACAGAAAGACCTGGAAGGAAATTAGCAAGAGGGAGTTTACTTGAGATGAGGTCAGAGAGCTGGGTGTGCGGGGGGACGCAGACCTTGTGGGTCCTTGTGAGCCTGGGCAGAGCTTGGATTTTTAAAGTGAAATGAGAAACCATTGGCGGGTTTTAAACAGGGAGGAACATTATCTGATTTATGTCCTATGGTGCATAGTGGACACCTCCTAAATGTATCCAAAGTTGACTGTGCTTACAAGTTCTCATTAAAGATGAAATAGACCCAAACCCTAGACCAACTACTCCCTTGTGTGTCTCACAGGCTCCAGACTTCTAAGTGACATACCCCCTTCTAGTTGAGTTTTTCCTAATGGGTGAGAATAGTCATGAACTGTAGTGTCCTAGGATGTGTGTGTGTGTGTGTGTGTGTGTGTGTGTGTGTGTGTGTGTGTGTGTGTGTTTGGGGCACATTACTTATCAGAGAACTTCAAAGTAATTCTGTAAATACATAGAGAAATCACCCTATTGCCCATGTTCTCTTTTTAGACCCAACTATAGTTAGACTTCCCCAAAGAGTCACTCAGACATTTATTTACCTGGTAGGTGATCAAGTTCTGTGTTTTCCCAAGGTTAGTGGAGAGCGAAGGAGATAATAGCTGCAGGCCTCCACCTCTGTCCAGCCTCAGGCCTGCATGTATTTATTCATGTATTGAGTGTCCCTTGGACTCCAGGCCCTACGTTAGTTGAGAAGAATAGAGTCTGTACCATCAAGTGGCACCAGGCAAAGTAGAAGACTCCAGGTCACTAATCCTTGGAAGCTCCACTTCTAGGAATTCTGCCATGGCTTGGCATCATGAAACTTCTTGTAAGGCTAGACTTGTATCTCAAAGAATTGAGAGTTAAAAGAACCTTGGACGTCAGCTATCCCAGTACTTCTCCAAAATGTGCCTCTGTTTTTCATTCTTTCAGCTGATACCGTTTTCTCAGAGGTACATGGTGTGTGTCACAAATATAAGTCTGAACCTTTCAGGTGGATTGAGAAAAAATTAGGAGCATTTTCAGATTTTTATACACTTCTCAAGCTTTCGGTATAATATTTTTTGCCTATATTCCATTGCCTACCCACCTCTTAGAGTCCTTTGAGAGTGAGGAATCTGAGTTTCCTCCTTGTGTACTCATCATCTCTGTGCTTCTGTCAAGCATCCTCTGGGAGAGTTATTGTCACCCCATTAAGCGTGGCGGACGGAAACAAAACATTTTGGCTTAGAAAGCTCTGATCTTCAGCTGACTTGAGCTGTACAGGCTTACTTCGGAGGTACTGAAGATTCCGTTCCAGGCTACTGCAATAAAGCAAATACCCCAATAAAGCAAGTCACACCGATATTTTTGGTTTCCCAGTGCATGTACAAGTTATGCTTATACTCTACTGTAGGCTATTAAGTGTGCAGTAGCATCATGTCTAAAAAAAATGTACATACCTTAATTAAAAACTACTTTATTGCTATTGTAAATCAACTATACCTCAATTTAAAAAAACTTCATTCAAGTGGTAGTCATCATCTGAGCCTTCAGCAAGCCGTGGTAGTAACATCAAAGATCAGTAATCACAGATCACCATAACCAATATAATAATAATGAAGACGTTTGAAATGTTGCTTGAATTATCAAAATGAGACACAAGGTGAGCAAATACTTTGGGAAAAATGGCGCCAATAGACTTGCGTGACTCAGGGTTGCCACAGACCTTCAATTTGTTAAAAAAAAAAAAATGTACAATCTGAAAAAAAATTAAGAAAGGCTTGACACTAAATGTAAAGAGACACACTGAATCAAATAACCCCACTAACCCATATTCTACCTTATAATGAGGTTTGGAGGAAGAAAGCCAAAACCAATAAAGTGCCAGTGATTTTTATAACTTTGCTCAATACAAACAGTAGAAGTGAAAACAAACAAATATAAAGAGCCTAGAATATTAAAATGGGCATTTGTGTGTGTGAATATTTATGGCTTTTGTTAGAAAGTCCTTAGACATACTTAATCCCTGAAGACCATAATCTCAAGAGAATAAATTACTTCCACAGAGTCAAACCAGTGACGGGCCAAGGTTTAAAAATTCCACGTTCCAAACAGTTGAAAGAGAGAAACAGGATTTAATGAGAGTTTGTGGGACTACAAAGAGATGGCACTGAAGTTATTCACCAAATTATTTGAAATGCCTTGAAAGTAAGAGTTTTCTCAGTGTAATATGAATTTTAAATAAATACAATTTTGGTACTTTAAAAAAAATAAAATAAAATGTAATATCTGCAAAGCACAATAAAGCGAAGCACAATAAGTTGTGCCTGTATATCATTTATCCTGACTTGGGCACCAAAATCGCGTTTCAAAACTCATTTGCCTTCCTACACCTGACTAGCTCTCTTCACCTGTGTTTATAACTTACTCCCTACCCCGCTCTGTAGATGAGGAAGGATCACTTATGTTATTTATTAGTGCTGCTTAGAGCTTTTAGTTCTTGAGCGACTCTTTCCCTTAATCCTAAATGTTATCATCAATATCGAGAGTGACGCTTTAAAATGGAATTTCTTGAAGGAATCTCACGTTCCGTGAGCAGGTGTTTTTGTGGAGGTGTCTAGAATAAAGTTGGGCTGTTGACCAGATCGAGGTGCTCATCTCCTCTTGTCCCTCTTTTCTCCTCTTGTACCAAAAGGTATGTTACACCTGGTGGGAAGGAGAAACAATTAATTTTCCAAATTTAGGGGTTTCTTCTTGCTTGCTTCTGAAGTAAAACCTATCTAGCCTTTTTTTCTGCATAAAAGGAGGAAGGAACAAGCAACAAATTAATCAGACAGGAAGTGAATAACCACAGAAGGATGTCTGCCTCTGACTCAGTGTGTCACATTTAACGAGAGGCCAGAGCTTGTCCAAAACGGCTGTCCAAAAACGACCCCACGTTTGCGTTAGAAGATGATGCCTTTCTCAGGGACGGTTTTCTCTCTCATATCTTACTTGCTCCCTGTCTGCCTGTGTCCCTGATCATGCCTTCCTGCAGTATCCTTTAACGGTAAGAAAGATTATATTCAAACTAAATGTATTTCCTTTATTCAGTTAGAGGGAAGGACTCGATGGCTTTTGGTGGACCATAGTATGTTGAGATAAAGTTGTTTAATTTTTCAGTAGAGTACCATGTGGTCGAGTCCTGTTGCACCCAGGACTAGTTTCACTGCTATAGTGATTGTGGGCAATTTAGAACTTGCGTTTTGAACCAAAATGTAAGCGAGATTTTCAGGAGAATTTTTCCTGACCACTGGGCAAGTTTGGATCCACAGGAGTTTTTTCTGCCATTTAAAATGGGGGTTTATGTCAGTAACTGTATCCTTTCGGTGGATGGTGCAATTGTCCACATGACTGCCTTTGAATTGTCACTTTGGCCGACAACAGTAAGTGCTTTTCAAGCAAAAGGAGCCACTGGAAGCTTCAAAGGAAAGTACCGTGGAGCTAAGCTCTTGCCAGTCTGTTGCTACAAACCTGTTACTTAAGTTCAGATCCCAAACCATTTCTAAGCAGAGTCTTTTAGGACAGTTTGTCTTTTAGAATCATTCTGTTCAACATCCTAACAGTGCGGTGCACAATTACTATTGCTAATCAAATTCTGCAGCATTCATTGTAACTAGTTACATTTAATATGATTAATATTTTGACATAAAATAATTGTAATTTTCGTATTTCAAACGGTGTACCCAGAGATCTACAGAGCAGGATTAAGGAAACCTTTTTGTATCAAAAAAATGCTTTTTTTTTCTTTGGGGCATATATGAAAAAGCATCTTGACTTATATTCCTTTTACCCCATGGAGAAATGTAAAATAAAGCTTTAAAAGGTTAAGAGGGCACAACTTTGGTCAATAAGTATAAGTTCTTTTAAATAATTCAGTGGCATAACTAGTGTATACAGTAGAAAATAGACAAGTGGTAAAACGAAGAAAAGACTATAGGAGGGTTCTAATTAAGAAAAGTAGGACAGCTTGGTAGAGAGAAAGATAGTGGGAAAGCAGGATAAAGAATAAGACAGGATAGTGAGAGAGGAAGATGAGAAGCCTGAAAAAGATTTTGAGGTCCATTAGTGTGGAAACCATACCCTTACTAGTCACTTGGGCTGTGGGTCTAACATTATGCATTAACTTCATAAAGTTATGTTGCTTCTGAACTGGAACATCATTTAGTCGAAATTCTCCTTTTATAGTCTAAAGAGGTTAAATGATTTATCTAAAATCATAGGTTGTTTTCTGATGCTCTTGGAAAAGTTCACCTGTTGGTTAATTGCTCACAGCTCTTCAATTACTCTAATATCTAAACTTTTAAGGATTACACATACTCTGAATGAACTGCAGTATTCAGAGACCTTCCCATGGTGAAGAATTTTCCCTGGGGTCCAGCAGCAATTTCACTCTGATCGTTGACGAAATCAAATTCTAGATCTTCCCTATAGGCTGGAAGTTCCCCAACCTGTGCTAAAATGTAAGAGGAAGTGAGCTACCTAATTCCTGGACCTTTCAAGTTTTACGCACTTTTGGAGTCCGCTTAACATTTCATGAACACGTCATTTTCGTTGGGAGTTTCTGGCTATTTAAATTGTGATTCGTTCCTGCTTTAAGGTTTGACTCATTTTTGTTTTTCCAAATTGTCATACATTTACTTATTGTTGAAAAGAGCATTTCCCCTGGACTATCAAATACCTCTGTCTGTATTTTGCAACCCTGAGTCCTGAAAATTAAAACTGAAAAAAAAAATACTAGAATAAGTAATGCCTTAATTAGTGTGCTTTTCTGAGAAATTTAAAGTGCACTTTATATGCACCTCCCTTTGCCATTCATTTGTAATGCAGAAGTTTGCATGGGTGTGCACATGTAGGCTACATCATCAGCTCGTGGTTTCTCTTTCTCATGGTTAAAAAAAGGAAAAGACAGTGTTTATTGAGGGCTCACTGTATGTTAGGCTCTTGACTTTTGCTTATTTTATTTTTTTTAAATGCTAATACTTAGTTAGCACTTGCTTCATTTAACTTTTTTTTTTTTTTTTTTTTTTTTTTTCTCGGGCCTCTCACTGTTGTGGCCTCTCCCGTTGCCGAGCACAGGCTCCGGACGCGCAGGCTCAACGGCCATGGCTCACGGGCCCAGCCGCTCCGCGGCATGTGGGATCTTCCCAGACCGGGGCACGAACCCGTGTCCCCCGCATCAGCAGGCAGACTCTCAACCACTGCGCCACCAGGGACGCCCCTCATTTAACTCTTGAATAGTCCTGTTGAGTCGGTACCCTTCTCGCCATTTTATTGTGGGAACTGGACTTAGGCTAAGCAATTTGCCCAAGGCCACTAACAACTAACTGTAATTTCAAGAGCTTTTTTCGTAAGTACAGTTAGGAAGCCACAAGATGTCCTTTTCTAATCCTGAGAATCTGGGATTGTACAAATGCTTTGTTTTAAATGTCACAGCCACAGTAAATATCTTTACGTGAATAATCTCAGGTAAGACCATTTCCTTTCTAAGTCTTCTGACCTTTTCAGAAGTAAATGTGGTGACTCTTCTACTTCTATTATGAGGCTACACTTTCAATGGTTAAATGAATAAAATATGTTGAGTTTGTTGACCTATATGCTGTGAGTATGTGTGCATGAGTGTGTGTGTGTGTGTGTGTGTGTGTGTGTGTGTGTGTGTGTGTGTGTGTAGTGGAGAACAGGGAGGGGCAGATCTTAATCATCTGGTAAAACTAAATGTGGTGCTGAGGATTTAGGGAAACGTAGTTTTGAGATTTGAGGCCCTTAAAGAGAGTACTAAAAAAAAAACAACCACCAGTACTTGTTAGAGATGGGAAGTTGTGGGAGGCAAATTGGTACTTTTTAGTTAAGTGGATAAAGTAGAAAAGATTTCTCTTCCCTTTCCCATAGTTAAACAAGGACAAGTAGGTGGGTCATTGAACTTACCTTCATTTTCTCATTTTTGAGAGGGTTTAGCTGTCTATGAATCTGCACTAATTTTTCAATTAAACATGTAGGACAACGTATTAAAAAATAATTTTACTTCATAGCAACCTTTATTTCCCCAGCAGTTACTCTTACAATAAAATTGTGGGTTTGTGTCCAAGCTCCCCTCTAATCGTAATGACATTGTAATGCTTCAAAATGTCTTCTCTGAAAAATCCCCCCTACTCCCCAAATTATCCAACTCTTTATCTAAAAGAAGTGTTTCTGAAATAGCCAGGGACCCTCCAAGTACAGCAGAGACACAAACCCTTACCATTGAGAAGACAGCCCGTAAGCAGAATTCACTTAAGCTATTGCCTTAAATGATGATCAACGGAGAAAAGAGCAAGTACATTTTGAGAAATGAGGGGTCCCGTGTACAGCTCAGATTGAGAAAAACAATGATTATGAACTAGGTGAGGCAGTTGCTTTGCTTATAAAGGAAAGCTTGTTTCTCTTCTCTACCTTTGGCTTCTTCTTGGGTTGAGCAGCCTTTTCTGCTTCTCCTCTTGCATTGATTGCCTCATTGCCTTCAGCCCTCTGGAGCTTGGACTGAGGAGAGGAAGAGTCACAATAATAGAAACAAACTTTATGCAAACGTATTAAAAGTTGCTAAAATGGCCAAAAACGACATGCCGGGCTTGGGGGTGGGGCACTGAGCTGTTGCACTGGGCCTGGTATCAGAAAATAGAAACTACGGGCAACTGCAGCTGTGAAAAGACTGCTAAAGAAACAGGATGGCTGTGGTTTGCTGTGAGCATCAATTTTCCTGTTGAGCATTTTTACAGGAAGTTGAAGAACAAAGCCAACTTCATCTTAATTAGTTCTGATGGTTTGCAGATCTTATACACATCCAACTAAGTTTGTCTCTTGGAGGAGTTTCTAAAGAATAGAACCCAAAATAATCATGAGTAGGAATCCCCAAACTACCAGTGTTAGCAGCAATTTGAGTTTTTGCTAAATGATTTTATTTTAACGGTATAACTTGGAGTAGATTCATTACCTTTATAATGAATGCCTTTGCAATCTTTTTTTTATGGCTGCAATAACTCGATATGAATTTAAGGGCCTTTCCTTATTAAAACACTGTCGAGTTGTATGTATTATAAATTTCCTTCTGTTAATATTTATTGGTCAAACAGTTGTGCATGTGTGTATTTATATAGATACAAAGAGGTATGTGTGTGTTTGTGTATAAAAGCTGGAAAAATATACATCAAAAAGTTAACAAGAATTATCTCTGGGTATTATCAACCCCAACCCTTTTTCACCTAATATTTAATTATTATCAAATGCTTCCTTCAATGGTTAAATACAACTGTCGTGTTTTATTTTCATCTTTGTATTTTTATATTGTTTATAATTTTCTAAATGAATATATGCTACTTTTGGAAGCAGAAAACAAATTCTCAAAAATCTAACCTGAAGACGCCAAGAGCACAGAAGAAATATATACATGAAAAAGAGTTAAGAGCATTATATATAAAGTAAAATATCAAGGAATATAAATAAAAATAAGATAGAGAATAGAAAGTAATGAGGGCAAGAGAACATTGGACGTTAGGATCTTTTCAGTTGTATTATTTCTATTATGTCCTTTCCCTGTACCGCCCCCCCCACACACACACACACAGTGATGAATTCAACCTTTTCTGAACAAAAAGTTTACTTCTCTCCCATTCATTTTAGGTAGAATAGTATTTAAGGGTGACTTTTGGCAAGATTTGCATAGCAAAATGCTTTATATTTTTGAATGGTCCAAAATTGTGATAAAACATAACTGGATAAACCTGCTTCTTATCTTCTCTGCTAGAACTTGGCCGATTCACACCCACGTCTTCAGGATTAGAGGCCGGCCTTCTGAGGATTATTTCATTGGACAGTGCTGGAAATCTCTCCCCTCTTCCTGTCATTCTATAGTGTGGGCCTCACATGACATAATCTAGAATGAATTTGACATTGGTTGGAAGAAACTAAGAAACAGTTTATTTAAATAACTTGCCAGTTCTCTTGACCATTTTACCTTCAGAGATAATTCTGCTTTCTTAGATGAGCATATTGAAGAAGAAAGCATAAGTTTCCTGGGGCAACTCTGGACTGAACTCTGGGCTCTGACTGAGTGTCTAGTTGTCCATGCTGTTGGGGGACTACGTCACAGTCGGGTGGGGAGCGATTCACTCTCTCACAAGGTGTTCCCCATAACCAGTATTACACATTGAGCAGATGGCTCGGGGCCACCAGCTACCCTGGTTGATCTAGGGTCAGTGTGTGATGCTGTCCACTGTCCAGCATCATTAAACCATGATGCTGACCTACTAGAAGTGTAGTAAAACCAACAAAATCATCCATGTCTCTCACAGAACTAGGAAATTCCAGAATTTCTAAATATTGATGTATATTGTGTGTATATATGTACGTGTGTGTAGGTGAAAAAGAAGAGCCAATTAGTGGATTTTTTTAAATTTATTAATTTATTTATTTATGGCTGTGTTGGGTCTTTGTTTCTGTGTGAGGGCTTTCTCTAGTTGTGGCAAGTGGGGGCCACTCTTCATCGCGGTGCGCGGGCCTCTCACTATCACGGCCTCTCTTGTTGCGGAGCACAGGCTCCAGACGCGCAGGCTCAGTAGTTATGGCTCACGGGCCCAGTTGCTCCGTGGCATGTGGGATCTTCCCAGACCAGGGCTCGAACCCGTGTCCCCTGCATTGGCAGGCAGATTCTCAACCGCTGCGCCACCAGGGAAGCCCCAATTAGTGGATTTTTGAAGTCATTTATGTAAAATATTCTACTCTGTTCTCTCAACCCAAAGAATCAATTCCTTTATGAAAGGTTTATTGGTAGATCCCTCCCCTCATCTCAATAGTTTCCACCAAAAATTTGTCGACTTTTTTAGGGATTCAGTTATTAAATAAAACTTTGGTAATCACTCACGTTCCCTAGGGTTCAGGATTTTTTTAATATATGTTTTATCTATTTATTTATTTAGGCTGTGTCGGGTCTTAGTTGAGGCATGCGGGCTGTTCATTGTGGCACGTCGATTTTCTCTTCTCTAGTTGTGGCGTGTGGGCTCCAGGGCATGTGGGTTCTGTAGTTTGTGGCCTGCGGGTTCCAGTTGAGGCACGGGAGCTCAGTAGTTGTGGCATGCGGGCTTAGTTGGCCCGCAGCATGTGGGATCTTAGTTCCCCTACCAGCGATCGAACCCACATCCCCTGCATTGGAAGGCAGGTTCTTTACCACTGGACCACCAGGGAAGTCCCCCCTCCGGTTGACTTTTAATTTCTTTAACGTATGACAGACAATCCAGAGATAGTTTGGGTGAGAAATCAATTGATGGTTTTATTCAAAAGCTATTATCTTATAATTTTCACTGTGGATAGCAGACATGATAGATAACATGTATTGTTGAAACTGTGTTTATCATTTGCTAGGGCTGCCATATCAAAGTACCACAGACTGGGTGGCTCGAACAGCAGAATTTTGTTATCTCACATTTCTGGAGGTCGGAAGTCAAAGATCAAGGTGTCGGTGAGAGCGCCCACCCGCAGATCCTCTCCCCGTTGTTTATCGGAGGGGGCGGGGCAGGGGCAGGCCCAGCCTCTGTGCTCCAGAGGTTTATTTATAAGTCAGTTAATGCACAGAGAGAGCCATAATAGCAACGACAGAAAACTGTAAAATACTTAGATTAAAGAGGCCTTACAGGGTGGCAGTCCCCTGAGAGTTTCCCTGTTCCATCATCTGGCCCCTAAGGCGTACAGAAGTTCAGTATTATCTTTGCAACCAGAGACTGGTTTATGAGAAGCAAACCCGTAAGAGGTTCCCGGTAGCTGATCGGAATCCACTTCTTCCTCAGTATTAGGATTAACAGGATGGCAGGTTAGCTGGTGAGCGTAGAACCTGACACAATGGAGTGTTGAGGGGCCTTTCATCCACTGAGCACGTGGACAGCCTGTCCCATGGAGCCCATCTCTCGGGCCCTCTGGGTGGACCCGGCCACCCCTTACTTGGTTAGCTCCCTCCTCAGCTGTTCAGACCATTGCTTTGGCCATAGCAGCTCTGACAGTTAGTTGGGCCTGAATCCCGTTTCAGATCCCCGTCCTTCCTCCTGGTCCTAGGACACAACCCTGAGGCTTCTGGAGGTGCCCCTGCAGCTGGAGCACCCCCTTCATAGGCCTCCAAACACAGGCCCCCCCAGCCCTCCTTATTACACTGCCCGTGTAGCCCCACGGGGGACCGATTGGTGTCACCCAGAAAAGACCAATGTAAGGAACAGATTTTAAAAGAACCCCTGTCTGAGACAGGCTCTTATTGAAAACCGGATTCTGACCGAGTTTACAGGTGAGCTGCAGTACTAGTTAGCCCTTTACCTGCCTAAAAATGCTTATCTAAGAAGAGCAGGGATCAAAAGGACTTGATGTGAATGAGTTTCGCGGGTCTTTTAGCGAGTTATTAATTTCTCTGAGTCCCAGCGTCCTCCTCTGTAAAATGAGTGGAATTATGCTAGTTTGCAGTGTGGTCATAAGTATTCAAGACGACAGAAATAAAGTGCCCTTTATCATCCACTTGACTGTTAATAGATGAGAGCAGCTCTTGCTGCTCCAGAGTTTTTTAAATTTCATTTTCTAGATGGCACTCAGAATAGAACTGTCAGAAGCTCTCTTGATTCCTGTCTTCCAGTAGCTTTGACAAGTTTGACCATGTCCTCTTAGCTTTTCCATTCCGTTACTGTCACAGAAAGCAAGCCATCCATCCAGCAAAACTTCTATGGAAAGTAACAGCTGACCCTTGAACGATGCGGGGGTTAGGGGCACCGACCCTCTGCACGCAGTCAGCCCTCTGTATCCACGGGTCCTCTGCACCCGGATTCCGCATCGTCGGATTCAACTACCCATGGATGGTATAGTACTATGATGTTTACTATTGAAAACAATCCACATCTAAGTGGACCCGTTGTTCAAGGGTCATCTGTATTTGTTTCAAGGTATAAGTTTTCCACGTTAACTTTCAGTGGTTGAACTAAGTTAATACTTTAAATTGTTTTTTCTTTTGGCCATGCCATGTGACTTGTGGGGTCTTGGTTTCCCGACCAGGGATCGAACCTGGGCCCTCAGCAGTGGAAGTGCAGAGTCCTAACCACTGGACCCCCAGGGAATTCCCTAATACTTTAAATTCTAAGAGGTTGTTTTCTGCAATTAAGAGACTATTGAAAATAAAAGATAATTCTGAGGTTTGAAATTCAGGACACATGTTCCACAGAAACAATGTTATTCAGGTGGTCAGTGTTCCAGGCTGCTCACTTGGTTTAAGGCTCTACCACCAGGCTTCTCAAATGCATATGAATCACCCAGGGATCTTGTGAAAATGCGGAAACAAATGCAGTGCAGGCAGAGGGACTGAGATTTGATGTTTCTAACAGCTCTGGGTGATGCCCCGCTGCCAATCCGGGAGCGCTGCTGATCCAGGAGTGGCAAGATCTGGGTGGGAGAAGCTGGGATACTGAGGGGTGAGTAGGTGGGTGAGGGCTGAGGCCTGGGGCTTCCGCTTAGACCCAGGGATGGGACTCCGAGGACTGGGGGAAAGGGAGACAGGGTTCATTGCTGGCACAGCTCTGGGGGCACGTCCTTGCCATTGTTTCTTCAGCCCCTCATGTTTGCCAGGCTGCCCCCTTCGCCGCTGCTACCCACCAGGGCTTCCCTACGCTGTCTCACCGCCGCGGAGTCTGGCCTTCCCTTTGTCCCCAGAGCAATTAGACTATGCAGAAATCCTTTCTAAGGAAGCCTTTTGGTAGTAAACAGCCCAGAGTCAGAGGTTTGATTCCTCCTCTCTTTTTTCCCCCCTTTTTTTCCACTTGGATCCTGTAAGGAAATGCCAAGTAGCATAGAGGTAGGAATCCAGCCTCCTTGCCCATCTTATCTTCCCGTATTCCCATCTCCTTTCCCCGGAGGACTGTAAGAACTTTGAGGGCAAGTATAGAAATATAGATTCATCTTTGCATTCCTGGGTGCTACCCAGACCTAGACAAATGTCAGGAATCTCAGAGAAGAAAAGCAGCGGAGTGGAGAAGAAACGTCAGGAATGTTGGAGAAGAAAAGCGCGGGCACGGAGTTGGCAGGAGAACGGGAGAGGGCTGCGCCATGGAGATGAGTGAAGAGGAGCCACTTGAACATCGGACTTGGCCAGGATACATTTCTAGCCGTTTCCTAATAACCTCCCAGCTTACTCGGGCGGCAGGCCAGGGTCCTTCCCCCAACCTGCTTTGGTGGTGGTGGGATTGAGCAGCATGAGGCACTGGGTTTTGCTTCCAGTATCTCCAGGCACTTCGGCTGAGAAGCCTTCCCTGCTGACCTCCTTCCAGAATAGTAACATCCTAGCCATGCCGTAAAGCAATTCCACCTCTTATAAAAGGTGGGCTTCGTGAATAGCTGCCACTTTGACGGGAAAGCGGGAAGGAAGATTAGGATGGAGTATTACTAAGAAGTCTAATACGTGATGGTGCTTTGTTTCTTTTTGTTTTTACAGATTTGTCAGCCAGACTGCTGAAAACGTAACTATCCAGGATGCCCGTACCGCCCCCTCCAGCACCCCCGCCACCGCCCACGTTTTCTCTGGTGAGTGATTCTCCCCATCCATGGCCCATGCACGAAGCAAGCTAAACAAAATTGAACCTGGCACACGTGTATTTGTTTTCAGTGTATTCACATTCTGGCTTAAATATGAATGATATGGTAAGCTTTCCAGGTGCTGCAGTAAATAAGCCAGAGCCTGAGATGCAGCAGATAACAATACGAAAATGTTTTGTAGTCTAAGGTCTCATGTGATGCATAGGACACGCGTGGAATGTGGCTTAGTTAGGTTTCCTCTGCCTCCTCCATCAAGGAGACACGTCCTGTTCATTTGAACACGCTGGCCCAAGACGGTTGGCAGGAGCGGTTCTGCCCAGCCTGCACTGTTTTCAGCTTCTAGCCTTTAACATCTGGGCAGGATAGTCCAGAGACCCAGTCTGCCTGTCTGAAAATGCATCCATTAAAGTGTCCTCCAGACTCACTTTCTTTTTCTCTGCCTTTCGCCATCTTTCTTCCCTCTCTGTTTTTGACAAATAACCCCCATCTTCCACTCCCCCCTCCCCCCCCCCCACTTACTTCGCCCTTTAAATCCATCCTCGCAGTTCCGTGTGTACTTTCCTAAGGAATTTCTTCTCTGGGCTCATCCTGGCCCCCTGATGGACCCATCCTCAGAAGTTAGTGCACCCTCTTCCAGGAAGCCGGCAGCCCTCCCCGCAGTGATACGGAAGGTCTCCCAGACGCATCCCCCCAGTATGTGAGGCCTTTGCTGCTAAGGAGCCTCCCAGTGATGGGCCCTTCACTTTTCACTTGAGGAAACTGGAGCTCAGAGAGGAAAAGTCTCTTGCCTAGGCTTCCATGGTACACATTTTTTATAACCCATCTAAGGCTGGAACCTAGTTGGAAGAAGAGACCATTGATTAGCTCATTGCTATTCCAAGTGTGATCCTCCAACTCCTGGTTAGAGTCCCCCAAAAATAAGTACAGAAATTTAGAGTAAGCGCTTAGAAACACTTATAGCAATCTGATAGTGGTGTTATGTCTATTGTTTCTAAGATTGTATTTTGTGTGTCTTTTTTAAACGGATTCATTTTTCTAATAAGTCATTGTTATTTTACAAAATATTGGTCCATGACGGATTGGAAATTTTTTTCTTAAAAATTCGTCCTTCCCTTAGATAAGTTTGAAAAGCTGTGATCTGGCTAGCATAGAAGGACTAGTTTATATTTCCCCAAAAGTATAGGTTTTGCACCACTGCTGAGTCGTATGTGCCTTGATTTTTTTTTTTTTAATTTTAATGCTCGTGTTTAATATGTATTGTAAAAGTTATAACTGGCACACCCAGGGTTTAATAGTGAGTTAATTTAAAAGAAATGTTCACTGAGAAATAGTATAGTAAATAATATAGTGAATTAACTTAATGAAAAATATTAAATAATAACACAGGTAGCATGAGAAGATGACAAAAGTCACAAAAGTTGTACCAGAATGGTTGAAGTTTGGGACACCCTGGTTTATCCTATCCACTCATTTCTATCCATTATTACCTGACTAAAAGCAAGATCCTAGAGAGACAGGATATAGAGACGAGAAGATGGAAAGGTTGGTGGCCATCGTAGGACACCATCCAGTGGAACAGCACAGTCAAGAGATAAGTCAGCACCCAAGGGGGTCAGGTGTCAAAATAAATTTTGAGGCAGAACAGGAGGCCAGGGAGGGCTGCTGATCCAAAACCCTGAAGAGAACCAACGTGGACGTGGCGCTTAACCTCTAGACGCCTCAGGTTTTTTCATCCTTAAAACGAAGACAATAGGTAATTCAAAAAGCTCTTTCTAAGGTGTCCAAGGCATGTTGTTAAGTTATAAAAACAAGTTTCAGAGCAATAGAGGATGATCCCATTAGCAAAAGCGAACTGTATATGCAAAGAGCGTTTCTGGAACTGACTGCCAAGAAGCTCGTAACAGGCTTGCTTCAGAGGAGGGCTGGAGGCCAGTGGGGAAAGGGCATTTTATTTATTAATTTTTTTTCAACTGAGATATAATTGACATATAACATTCTATAAATTTAAGGTGGACAGCACATTGATTTGATACATTTATGTATTATAATTACCACCATAGTTTTAGCTAATGCCTCTATCACATCACATAATTATCATTTCTTTTTTGTGGTGAGAACATCTAAGTTCTGGTTTCTTAACAGCTTTGAAGTATATCATACAGCATTGTTAACTATAATCACTATGCTGTACATTAGATTTCCAGAACTTATTCATGTTTTAGTTGCAAGTTTGTACTCTTTAACACCTCCCCATTTCCGGGGAAGGGCATTCTAGATCCCGCGTTTATCCTTCTGTCAGGGAAGGCTCCGGAGTCAGGCTGCCAGGCTTTGAATCCGAGCTCCTCCTCTTACCAGCTGGGTAACTGGGTTGATGATTTAACTTCCCTGTGCCTCAGTTTCCTTGACTCTAAAATGAAAGTCATGACTCACAGGGTTGATGAATTAGTATACTTAAAATGCTAAAAACGGTGCCTGACCCACAGTGAAAGCTATATAAATGTTAGCTGTTATTATCGTGAGCAAGTACTACTTTGTAATTTAATTAAGACCCTTTCAGTTTCATACACAGAGATTCTGTTTAGCCTGCTTCAGGGTTTTTCTTAGCTCTCCCTCTGCCTCTAATAAATAGCTGGGTCAGGTATCAAGCTAAACTTGCCCAGGTTTACTCCTTGTGGCCCTTGCTGGCATCTGTGAAATCAGAGCCTTTCAGAAGGGCTGGGGCGAGCCTCAAAGGACTCTCACGGCTGCCAGAAGTACCACTGGGTTTGGGGAAGACGACTCTCCCCAGGACCAGGCCAGACCAAGCCAGTTTCCAAGTGTGACAAACACAGGTACACGCCTACTTCCGAGTCCGTCTGCTGGCGTCTTAGTGTTCCCACTCCCTAAAAGAACCCTGAAAAAACAAAATCCCAATTTCACAGTAAGAATCTTTCCCAGGAATTCTGAAATTATAGAAAATACCCAAAGGTTTTATTTATTTTTTTATTTTTTATTTTTTGGCTGCTCATCGCAGCTTGTGGAATCTTAGTTCCCTGACCAGGGATCAACCCCACACCCCTGCAGTGGAAGCACGGAGTCTTGACCACTGGACCGCCAGGGAAGTCCCCCCAAAGGTTTTAAAGCAGCACCATTGTCAGCTGTGCAGTTTCTGTGGGCTAAGCTTTCAAAGGGATTAGGGAACTATGTTCAATATCCTGTAATAAACCATAATGGAAAAGAATTTTAAAATAAAAAAAATTTTTTAAGGGATTAAACATCAGGAACACCTTAGCCCAGAGGAACATGAAGGGAGTTGGGGGGTAATGGAAGTGTTGTATATCTTGATTGTGACGGTGGCTACACGATTGTATATGTTTGTCAGAATTCACAGGACTGTACACTAAAAGGGTGATTTTACTATTTGTAAATTATACCTCCAATCTGCCTTAAATTAAAAAGAAAAAAGTCTCTTGTCAGTGTAACCAGAGGGAATTATTTTCTAAAATTTTGGTGGATTAAAAAAAAATACAGCTGACCCTTTTTGATAAAGACAATTTTCCTCTTGCACCAGGTTAGTTCCAAAAGACAAGAAAGAGATGTTCTTCAGAGAACATTCTAGAGGATGAAGCCTCATAGTATCCTGCAAATTCCTCTCAGACTTAAAATTCCCTGCTCGTTTCTAGCCATCCACCCCTTGCTCTGTTGGTTACGGCCAGATTGTGGTCTGAATTTTCAGAGACTTTTATCAGGGAGTGACTCTTCCTGCATTAAAAATGAATGTAATGTATTGCTGCATCTGCTCCCAAATGTCTGGGTCTTAAAAAGAGTGACATCGGGTCTAAAACTTGTAGAGAATTTACAGCCTATTGCCAAGAATCTTAATAACAAGCTCCCAATGCGCTAGCTGTCCCCACCGAGTGTTGTACTACATGATTTTAATTCAAAAGATGAATACGAGTTTGCGTGTTTCCTTTCAGGCCAATACAGAAAAGCCTACCTTGAGTAAGTCAGAGCAGGCTGGGAGAAATGCTCTTCTCTCTGACATCAACAAAGGGAAGAAACTAAAGAAGACAGTCACCAATGACAGAAGTGCACCGATATTGGACAGTAAGTAAAAAAAGTTATGTTCCATGGAGATAAATGGTTTATGACCTAACAATCAACTCTACTCTTCCCACCAAAAAAAAAAATTTTTTTTTTTTTTTTGGTTAACAACAGCTGCAAAGCTAGCAGAATAAGGGACTGTATCACTCATTGTAGGCCATGGCTCTGGCTTGGGTTCCCTCTAATGCTGCAGGAAGCCAGTATAATAATTCTTTGTCCAAGACACACACAGCAGCAATTCTCTGAATTATTCACAACTCTTTACAGCACTTTCTGGAAATTAACCCTTTGCTCATCTTACCACAGCGCAAAAGGCAGCATGAAATATGGAAAGAGCCCTAGTCTTGGAATCAAAGGATGTAGGTTCGAGCCCTGACCATCTCCAACCCTTTGTCTTCATTTGTAAAATGGAGATAATACCTGTTCTACTACCCTCACAAGTTTGTTGTGAGCATCAAATGAGACAATGCTTCTGAAAGTGTTTTGTTGCCTGGAATGTATAATTCAAGTGTAGTTATGATTATTAGGGGGTTAGAGAGAGAGGAAATGAGATCACAGCTTTGCTTATTGACCCATCATAAATCTGAGATACTTTCTGGAACAAGGCAGGGTATGTGTAAACAAACAAGTACCCACCATACAGGGCTACTTATTAACATTTACAACAGAATGAAACATTACAGATGGCTAGAATCTACCGGAAGTTAATTATCAGGCCTCAAGACTATCATCTCACACTCCTCACACATTTCCACTGCCAGCCAGATGTGCCCAGAATTCATCCTCGACCACAGATGCCACTTGGACTCAACAGGAATTAGACTGTCCTAAACTCACCAGAGGGAGTTTGGAGACAAGTGAATAACGATGTAGGATTTTAGCCAAGTGGAGGAATTTCTAGGAAAAGTGCCTAACGAGTAGAAGAGAAAGATCAGTGTTAGGTGAGAACATTGGTGAGGGAGGAAGGTGGAAAAGAGGAAGATCAAGACAAAGGCCTTTGAGTTTTGCTCTGTTACCAGGCAAGGTGGTGCAGATGGAATGCACCACACCTCAGTGGAACTAGAGGGTCTTTGACTTTTGATGAAGTCTTACCTCTGGGTCAGAATGCCCACAAAATGGTGTGGTTATTGTATAGTCAATTGCTTAGTTTTCCTGATCTGTGTCACAAGGTTCTCCCTGGGGTTGCCCAGCCCAGTCGCTTCTTTCTGGGGAGCTCTGGTCCAATACCCATTGAATCGTGGTGCCTGGGATGGGGCCAGAGGAACTCCACAAACTGCCAACCTCTAGACCAGAGCCCAGTGGTTCTCTCCACTACGAGAGGGAGCCTAGGCTCTGGAGAATTCCCTAGACGTTGAAGGAGAATGGACAGTCTGGGGCCTAGTCCTGAATCCACTAGTGGAAGTTCATTATATTCTTCAAGATACACTTCTCTCATTAAATGGAAAAGAGTGTTAGTTCTCCCTCCCATCTGCTCAGTGATGTTTAAGAATGCACTTTGCCTTGTGGACACCAGATGCAACCCAATGCATGCCCTTGTTCATGAACTTAACTGGACGCTAACACTGTTGTTAGAAGCTCTTTGCAAGTGGCAAAGTCCATCCATGGTTTTGTATTTGTTTGCAGGTGAAACCTCCCTGGGTTCTATGTCAAAATGTTGACCATGGTTATACAGGATATAACTCTTGAGGTCAGCTTTGTCCTCCAATTTAATTGTTAGCAGAGTGACCTAGAGCTAGTGTAGCTTCTCTATCGGAAAGCTGTACAACTGTTGCAAGTTAAGAACACTAGTGGACGATGTCTGATAGAACAAGTTCATCGATCTCTTTGAATGTTCAATACCAGGTAAAGGTGTCCTATGAAATGCAGTATTGCAGAATGCATCGTTCATCAACCAATAACATTTTAATGTCAAGGGCATTATTAATATTATTGGCAATAATTTAAATGAGTAAAACTTTTAAATTTTATATGGAAGCAATTTTGCATGCACTTCCAGAAATGGTTATTCTAATTTGATATAGCGTACTAGGCGAAGTAATTCTTGTGAGTTCAGTATCAGATTGTTTCTTCTATCAGCAGAGTTCCCATAAGTATCCCAGAAAGTTCCACACCTAGAAAAGATACAGAGCTGACAAAGACTTATGATCAATGACTTATGATCAATCTTATGATCAATGACAAAGACTTATGATCAATCCAGAAAAAAAGAAAACACAAATGAATAAATAGAGCTCAGAAAGCAGATTAAATAAAAGATTCAAAGCAGATTTTCTAAAATTAAGGATGCTACAATGAAGTTATTCTTAAAGAATTTAACTTTTTAAGAAAAGTACAAATTTACCAAAAATCATTCATGAAGCTTCAGTGAGCAAGGAAAAAGTTGAAAACTTTATCAAATTACTTTTTCTCTAAAAAGCTTTAGAGCCAGATGATTTTATCAGAAAATTATTTCAGATTTTAAGAAACAACAAATTCAAATGCTATATAAATCATTCCTAAATGTAGGAAGACATGGAAAGCTATCTGTTAGGTATAATGAGATTGGCATGATCTTAATATCAAAACATGACAAAGGCAGCATATATACAGAAAGAAAGCTGGTGTATCAGTGTCTCAGGGGACACGTGGCAATGCCTGGAGGCATTTTTAGTTATCACAACTTGGTGAGGGAGGGTTCCTACTGACACCTAGTGGGTAGAGGCCAGGGATGCTGTAAACATTCTACAGGGAACAAGATGGTCACCCACAACAAAGAATTATCTGACCCCCAAATGTCCGTAGTTCCAAGGCTAAGAAACCCTACTATAGACCACTTATGATCACAGATGAGAGGATACTAACTAAAACTCCAAAAACTCTAATTCAATAGTATGTTAAAAAAAATAATTCACCAAATCCAGAGTTTGTCTCATTTTTAATGTTAGAAAGTCTATATATCCATCATATCAAATAAGGAAAACCATATAATGATCTCAGTAGATCCTGGATAGGCATTTGATAAAATTCCATGCCATAAGAAAGTCTTAAAAACCCAGAGTGGAAGGATCCTTGCTAACCACGAATACTTAGAAAAAAAAGTTATTTCAAAAGTTATTTCAAAGTATGTAACTTGGGGGTTTCCCTGGTGGTGCAGTGGTTAAGAATCTGCCTGCCAATGCAGGGGACACGAGGTCGAGCCCTGATCCAGGAAGACCCCCACATGCCGCCGAACAACTAAGCCCGTGCGCCACAACTACTGAGCCTGTGCTCTAGAGCCTGTGCTCCGCAACAAGAGAAGCCACCTCAATGAGAAGCCCATGCACCACAACGAAGAGTAGCCCCCACTCGCCACAACTAGAGAAAGCCCGCACACAAGAACAAAGACCCAGTGCAGCCAAAAATAAACAAATAAATAAATTTATTTTAAAAAAAATGTAACTTTGAAACATTAGAGGCATTCTCATTAAAATCAAAACATGATTTCCTTTATTTTTAAAATACTAATAATGTTAATAATTTATGTTTAAGATAAATATATAAATGTATATTTATTCTTTATAATTATTTTAAAATAAATTGTCTTTAAATTAATAAAACATTAATAACTTACACTGTTATGGAAGCTCAGTCATCAAAGTAATTTCTTATATAAAACAGAAATAAGATACACAACTCTTAGAAAAGAAGGCATACACCTTACCTTTATTATTTGCAGAGCATTTGTCTACTAGAAAATCCAAGGTAAAAAATAAATTTTAATTCTGAAAATGCAGGAAAGTGATTTATTAGATATCAAATGAAATTTCCTGATGCCAATAATAACCAAATCCAAAATATAGTAGGAAAAACATTCCTTTCGTAATTTCAACAAACAAAAATGTATTTGAAGTGACTCTAAAAGAACTATGGGTGACCCACATCATGAAAATTACAAAACTTTACTGAATAAATCAGAAGACATGGGAAAATATACCAGGTTTCCATAAAGTCTAAATATCATGAAAGTGTCAGTTCTCCCAGATTAATTTGTAGATCTCGTGTAATACTTACCAAAGACTCAACAAGGTTTTCCAGGGGTAGAACTTTAAACAGTACTTAACCTCATAAAACATATATACATACATAAATTGTTAAGAGACAGTTTTTTAAAGAGGGTATAATCATGGCTCTAATACAGATATAAAATAAACATATATCAAAGATTTTATTTAGCTCATTAATTAATGAGGGAACCAATATAATGTTATCAATTCAAAGGAGAATTCGAAGTACCACACATATGTAGGCAGGTGAGTGTTGAAATGAATTTACAAATAGGTGCAAAACAGGTCAATCAATTGCATGACACTGAACACAACCAATATGCATTTCTATGGACAAATATCATTTGCATTATTATCAGTTTTGTACAATTTAATAGAGTTGCAGACTAGCTCAAAGGCAATGGGAAATAACCCAGAAGGCTAGACTGGATACTTAGTAATCTTTTTCTTTCTTCTTCTTCCTTTTTTTTCTTGTTTTCTTGTTTGCCTATTTTGAAATCTTTCACAGTTTTTTGGCAACAAATGCAAAATAAAACAAAATCTTTGCATCGTCTCAAGTTGCAAAGATTTTAAAAATGTTAAAGTCTACTGTTGGGTTTTATGATATTAAAAAATTGAAATCAACCCGGAAGGCCATCAAATAGGTAGATGGATAAATAAATTACAGTACATTCAGTGTTCTAAAACACAATGCAATCCTTTAAACTCATGTTTTCAAAAAATATTTAGTGACATGGGAAATGCTAACAATAAAGTATTGGCTGAAAACTATGTAGTGAATTTGGTCGTGAGAAAAAATATGTAAAATGAAAAAACAAAAAAAAACACCAAAACCTGGCAGGGAAAAATACACCAAAAAAGTGGGTATTTCAATGAAGCAAAATTATGGGATATTTTATTTTCTTCTCCTTTATTTTTACTGTTTCCTTTCTTCTCACCTTTTATTGCATCTCCTCCCTTAAGACTTTCTTTCTTTGAAGATACTTTTATTTACCAAATCCTATGATACACAATACATATTAACTCATGTGGCAGCCAGCCAAGCAGGGGAAGATCATTATCTATTACTGATTCTTCTACCTCTGGGCTTGCGACTGCCCTGGAGTAGAAAGAACCCTCTGCTTTTCTGACGGAGGATAGGGTGAATCCTTAAAGTCCTACCCTTTAATGAAATTCCAGGTGTCCACCATGGGCTTAGGTTCTGCCAGCTCCCTGTTGTATTGTGATTGTTTACTTGGGCGAGGACTGGTAAAGTTCTCTGGTGGTGTCTTCATACATGTGTAAAGGCTGTGTTTTCTTCCTTCTGCAGAACCTAAAGGAGCTGGTGGTGGTGGCGGAGGCGGCAGTGGGAGTTTTGGAGGGGGTGGACCACCCGGTTTGGGAGGACTGTTCCAGGCTGGGATGCCAAAGCTGAGATCCACAGCCAACAGGGAGAGTGGTAAGGAGAGTTTCCTTCCTTAGTTACTGAAGACCAGGCTGAGTCTGGCGGTTTTGAGACTTGGCATCCCCTCTAAGGCATTGTGCCCTGTGAAACAGTTTAGATTTCTTGAAATGTTAACACTGTTTTATAAGAGGGACTCAAGGGACTTTCCTGGTGGCACGGTGGTTAAGAATCCGCCTGCCAACACAGGGGACACGGGTTCAAGCCCTGGTCCAGGAAGATCCCACATGCCACAGAGCAACTAAGCCCGTTCTCCACAACTACTGAGCCTGTGCTCTAGAGTCTGCGAGCCACAACTACTGAGGCTACGTGCCACAACTACTGAAGCCCGCACACCTAGAGCCTGTGCTCCGCAACAAGAGAAGCCGCTCTGCAATGAGAAGTCCGTGCACCACAACGAAGAGTAGCCCCCGCTCGCTGCAACTAGAGGAAGCCTGCGCACAGCAACAAAGACCCAACGCCGCCAAAAATAAATGAAATAATTTTTTTACAAAAAGAGGGACTCTATTTAGCATCTTTTTTTTTTTTTTCTTTTTAAATCAGGATCAGACAGCTCCATCGAGCTGTTAAATATTTGCCCAGTGTCCTTGGGGTAACTTGTACTTTTTTGTACTTTTCTAAAGGGTAAGCTAGAGTGGGAAGAAAAGGAAGGAGCAAATGGGACTTGCCACCCCTGGAAACTCTGCCTGGTGACCTGGCAGATTCAGCTTTCTTTGTGAGGTAGTCTGACCCACCTGTTGAGTGTAGTAAATACTTGTGGGTCTCTTTTCAAATACACAATGGAGCATGTCATATGAAATATAATTACGTATCTCACAAAACCTAAAAAGGTGTTTTGCCTGACATTTGGCATTTTAGAACTAGTGATTCTAAGTATTCTCTGCAGGAAGCCATGGAAATGAGTCCTACAGGATTGTCTGTGAACACGATGGCACAGAAAAAAGTTAAACCTGGTCATGCCTAAATAAAATACCTTACAGAGTGTGTGAGGCTCTCCCCTGACTATGACAGAAGCTCAAGAAATTTTCCCATGAAACTTTACTTTTTAATGTTTACTGTGTTAGAAGAATTTTATTTCTAATTCCATGGTCTTTTAAAATGTCCACTGGGAAAGTGTGAAAGTGTCACATTCATATGAAGATAAAGTCACTGAATCCTCAGGGTTACCTGGCTATTTTAGTTTTGGATTGTCAACATCTAGAAGGAGACTCAAGAATATGAGAGATTCTATCTTGCCAGGCCTGCATTTAAATTTGTTTATTTAAAACCCACTGAAAGGACTTGAGGCAACTGACAAATGCATACATTCAGTACTTTAACAGTAGGTGAAGAAATTCAGGCAAAAGACAACTGGAAGTAAAACAATGAAATGAAGATGGAATTTAAGTTAGTACACAAAATGCTACAGTATTTGCATAGTACACTATCTGCATAATGGGTCCCATCCCTGTAACATATATGTGGATAGTAACTGCACCTTTAATCCAAATTTGGAAGGTAAAACTTATCACAAGTTGGTGACATAGAACTATACCACACAGTCAAGGAAAATATAGCTCATATCTAGTGCTAAAGTCAAAATAAAAAATTCTTTCTAGAGTTCACATTATTCATAAATCCAGCCAGATGTCTCTCATCGTGCCTTGGATAAAATCTGAACGCCTTCTGGCCGACAAGGCTCTCTATGACCCGGCCCCTGCCAGCCACTCAGGCTGCATTTCGTAGGGTTCTCCTCCATGCTCACTGTGCCCCACACACATAAAAGCCTTGGTTTTTTAACTTGAAGCTCATTTCCACCTCAGGGTCTTTGCACCTGCTGGCCCTGACTGAAGCACTTCTCTTCCTCCTCTCCATGGCGGGCCTTAGCTCAAATGTCACATCCTCAGAAGGGCCACCCCCATCTAACCTGGCCTCTCTGGGCATTCTTCATCTCATCAGCCTATTTTAGTTTCTTTTTAGTCCTTATAACTGTCTGAAAATATTTATGTTTACTGGTTTTTTGTTTATCTCCCCCAGAAGAACATAAACTACAAGAGAGCCAGATCTTTCCTGTTTTGTTTACTCCTCTGCCTCTAGCATCTAGAATAATGGCTGACGTATAGTATAGCAGGTTAATATTTGGTATATTAATTAGCTCATAGTTGAACTGGGTAAAGTTTTTTCAGACTAAGCATTTTACAAGAATTAGTTTAGGTTCTAAGAGACTCTGGGGTGGTGGTTTGGGTTTTTCCATAACTTTGGTTCCTCTTTAGCTCTTCCCTTTGTTGAACCAAAGCAGTTGAATATTAATTATGTATTAATAGTAGGGTTGTTCTGTCCTGTCAGTATTAAAGTGGAAGTTGACCTAGTAGGGAAAAACGTTGTATAGTTGCCTACTTGTTGGTAGATTAAGACCATCCACTGGTGTCAACTCTTTTAAACTTTGACAGTTTCTTTTTCCTTTGACAGTTTCTTATTTCAATCATAACTCTTCCACTCTCTTAGAAATTTACCTTTAAAGGTTCTAGGTAAGCCCTCCCATACAGAAACTTACATTGGGATAACTAATTTCTTCATCTAAGAAAGCTACATTATTTTTCAAACCTGAGAGGTACAGGGTGGGGGGACAGGGATAGTGATGGGGAGAAAAGAAAATCATTAGCAGAAATCCCATGTACCAATGCCATCCTGTTCTCGACCTCTTGTAATGAACAGGGATGTCTCCAGAACTCTTACGAACCTCATCCTGGTTCTTGTCCATCCATAAAGCCAAGAGAGCTCTCCAGAATCCCTTTGAAAGCTGATGGGTTGTGGAATCTGGGAGTAGAAGAGAAACAGAGAGCTGTGATCTGTCCCTCTGCTTCCAGGAAGGACACACAAAACCTAGTTTATTTAAGTAATAGTTACCTGTCGTTTGCAGCATCTAGGAAAGGGCTTCCAGTAGCTGGCAATTTACTCTAGTTCTCTGATTGCCTTTAAGGTTCCTAACTTTCTGATTTTTTTTTTTTTTTCTGTTCTTCAGATTCTGGAGGGAGCCGACCCCCGATTTTGCCACCAGGAGGAAGACCCACATCTGCCAAACCTTTCTCGCCCCCAAGTGGCCCAGGGAGGTTCCCTGTGCCTTCTCCAGGCCACAGAAGCGGACCTCCAGAACCTCAGAGGAACCGAATGCCTCCCCCGAGGCCCGACGTGGGCGCGAAGCCTGATAACATTCCGCCTCCAGTGCCTAATACTCCAAGACCCGTTCAGTCAAGTCTGCACAACCGGGGGTCCACCCTAGTGCCCGGGGCCCCCAGGCAGCCCAGCCCCGGGCCGACTCCTCCCCCTCTCCCCGGAAACCGAGGGGCTGCTTTCGGGGGAGGCTCCACCCGCCAGACCCCGTCAGGCTCCTCCTCGCCCTTCTCCAACCGGCCTCCCCTCCCCCCTACCCCGAGCAGGGCCTTGGATGACAAACCCCCTCCTCCGCCCCCTCCAGTGGGCAGCAGGCCCTCCGTCCACAGGGAGGCCGTCCCCCCGCCTCCCCCTCAGAACAGCAAGCCCCCGGTGCCCTCCACCCCGCGGCCTTCCCCCTCCGCGCAGGCCCCGCCCCCGCCCCCCAGCCGGCCAGGCCCTCCCCCAGTGCCCCCAGGGTCCAGTGGCGGGGGCGGCGGCGACGAAATCCCGAGGCTCCCACAGCGGAACCTGTCCCTCTCGTCGTCCTCGTCGTCGTCATCATCTGCGCCTCCCTTACCTTCACCTGGGCGGTCGGGACCTCTTCCTCCCCCGCCCAGCGAGAGACCCCCTCCTCCAGTGAGGGACCCACCGGGCAGATCAGGTATGGCCAGAGCGCGGTGAGTTGTGCCCCTGTGCCCCAGCCAGCCCAGAAGTCACTACCAACTGCACATGAAGAGAGCCCAACAAAAGCTTAAGTGAACTCTCGGGCTGCTTTGACCTTGGAAGTGACACATAACCCATATGATTTCCTCTTGGCCTCACGTAACCTCTGAAGAGAGTGGGACCCATACTTCTGTCCACGTTTCAGAAGTGAGGAGACTAAGTAACCAATGAAGTGAAATGATCCCAAGCGAGTTAATAAAGAACAGGCCACTCACTCACCTTCCATCTCACCACTCTACCTGACATCTCCTGAAAGGGAATTTCTGCTGTCTTAACTGGGAACTAAATACCCATCTCCTGCAGGAGGGCCCATTATTCCAACAAGAAGGGCAGTTATTTAAGAGTGAATGAACTTTCCCTGTACTTCTCTTCATCGGTCAAGTTTTGACACATACTAGAGTCCATTTTGCTGTCTGTTCACATCTCTGACACGTAGATCCCTTGGAGAATCAGATAAAGGTATAATAAGGCCTTCTCTCCATAAAAATGCTCATAAGCATAAACTCAAAATTGCCTGCTGTTTCATGGATTGAAGGACCTGCTGAAGCCCATCTGTGTCCCCACCCAGGGCTGGAAACCTGGATCTAAGGGGAGAACCTGCACAGTGTGAAATGAAGTGTGAGGAGTCTGTACTCTCTCTCCTACTTTTAATAGGTGCTTGTTTGTTTTCTGTTTGTTATTGAGGGATTCAGAAGAACTATCTAGTTTTGGAATTTAACCTTACCATACCTACAGGATGTCTGGAAATGGGGCATTTTTTGCTCTGTGAGAAGCTAACTGACCTTTGACCCCCTGACCTCAGGAACCTAATAAACACTTTTTTAAAATAGTCCTCAAACTTGACCACATACTGGGATCACCTGGGAGCTTTAAAAACCACCATGCCTGGGTTCCTACCCCAGGATTTCTGGTTTCATTGGTCTGGGTTACAAACTGGGCATCAGGATATTTGGAAGCTCCCCGGTGACTGTAATGTGTAGCAAAGTGAAAACCACTCCTTCAAACCACTTTGCCAGGGAGAGTCAGCTACAAATATAAAAAGTTGGTAGTCTATTCAGTCTAGACATTGTGGCATCTCATTAAGTATGCTTCAATGAACAAATAAGAACAAGTAGTCAGATGAATGAAATGCATCATTTTCTTCTTATCCAACAGGTATGGATTTTCCCACAAAATGGCTGAGGAGCTGTTTGCTTGGTTCTACCAAATGATTTAATCAACAGATTAAATATTCCCCCAAATAGGATAGGCAGTGATATATATTTGTTGTTTCTTTCAATTACATTAAGTCATACCTGTTTATTGTACAAAATACATAAAAGTATAATGAAAATAAAAATCATCTATAATTCTGCCACCACCATCATCCAGATATAACATTGTTTATATACCCTTTCAGTCTTTTTTAAATGCATATATATACATGTTTGCAAAATTAGTATCATACTACATATATTGTTTGCTAATTTTCTTTTTATTTAATTTAGCTCATTATTTTCTGACATGATTAACTCTTCTTTTACAACCTGACTTTCAATGGCTGCATAATATTAAATCCCACAAAAGTACCTTGGCTTATTTATTAGTCACGTGGTCATACAGGCCATTTCTAGAGTTTTGCTATTGCAGATAATGCAGGGATACATTCTTGTAGCTAAATATTTGTGCACATCTCTGTGTATTTCTTTTGGATGAATTCCTAGGAATGGAATTCCTAGGACAATGGATGTACACAGTAAACTGTGGATTTCATAGGTATTGCCAAATTAGCCTCTAGAAAATTCCCACCAATTTACATTTCCATAAGGAACCTATGAGAAGTCATCAAGGGCCATCTATATTTTGAGAGGTGGCTTGGCTTCATTGTTAGGGGAGTGTTTTAGAATTTGACAGAATGGAGTCAAATCCTATTCTTCCACTCATTAGTGTACTGATTTGGGCTCTTTAACCTTCCAACACCTCTGAGGCCTCACCTGCTGTCCTGATGCTCCTCGGGGCTGTTGTAAGAATTAAATGAGACCAGTGTGTATAGTGGTTATCTTATTTCCCCCCATGTAGTAGCATTCAACAAATGATCGTTTTCATTATTATACTGCCAACAGGAAATAGAAATCTGTTTTCTGTTATGCTTGCCTAGGTTTGGAGCAGAGGGCTGGAAGGTTGGAGAGTAAGGAACATGAACAGTTACTTTAAAAGAGAGAGAGATCAAGTTGATCAGGTTACGTAGTACCAGGCCCCATAGTATTGGAAGTCTAGTTTGCATTCAGTGACAGTTATGTGGTGGTACTACCACTGCCATTAAGCCCACAGCGTGTGAGCCACTTCTCCCCCCAGTAAATCTACTCATACTAACTAGGACTCCAGCAGTGAGAAGTAGATGGGGCAATGAATAAACCCTACCAGATTAGGCACTGAAGACTCCTTGAGAGACGAACCAGGGCTGGGCATGCCTCCCACCTCCATCAGAGATCTGAGCCAAGACTTCCAGACAGGAATATCTTTGATGGGTGGGTCATTCACTTTAAGGTCCTCTAGTTGGATTCTGAATCTGTAATTAACAAGACATATTTATATTTCTAGCACCATAAGACATTGTGTTTACATAAAGATGTCAGCATGTTGCTAGTGGAACACACCACTGAAGGTCAGGAATAATTACTAAGGCCATTTTGATTTGCATGAGAGATGCTCAAGTTCTTTTTTTCTTTTTAAAAATTTACTCATGACCCAAACAGCCTCTGCATTTGGAGGATGGGAAAAGCAAGATATGTTCCTTTGTACTATCAAAAAGAATTTACTTTGAATTATTTACTAAGAACTTAAAATTTTCTGATTATACCACACCACTGCATTTTTAAAACATGGTTTCAAATACTATATAATACTTTTTATTTGCTTTTTGACTAAGTATTTCTGGCAACAGTGCAGTGAGAAAGGTGTTCTTTCGTAGACAGGAAATCAAGTTCCACAGGACAACCAGCCTGCACAGGGTCAGGATACTGCACCAGCATTTACAGCCATGCACATTGATTAGCTGATTGTCACTCCCTCTGTTAATCTGACTCCCCAGAGAGGAAGAACCAAGAAGGAGCTCTTACTGTTCTCGGGATAACTGATGTTTGGTTTCCTGATCCCGCTTCTGCCTGGAAACAGATCATATGCATCACAGAAACATGCTTGCATAATTAGCGATAATACTATGCATTTAAAGAACTTAGTCCCTCTGGAGACCTAAAATAAGTTCATAACTATCTTATTTTTAAAACAGCATTTACTTAATAAGTAACATGTCACAGTAATTAGTTCAACAGCTATTTAAAAGGAATTTTAAATGTTTTTTAAAGTATACAGTTGTCAATATAAACAAATGATTACCATTGTCAACTGCATCACCTCCAATCTCAACTCAAAGCCAAACAGCCATTTAGCTATCAATGTGCACTTGTTCCACGTATGTGTGTACATTTGTGCATTTCTGTGCTTATATGCGCCTAATCATTTCTTGGCTAAACCTCCTAGGAACTCTCCACCATTTCTCCACATTCCCTAGTAAAAGGGCATGTATCCAGCAGGCACTCAATAATTGCATGTTGATGACCATGATGATAGTAATGTACAGTGTAAGGTACAGCACTAAATGTCATTTTTCTTTTGCTCCAGGCCCTCTCCCACCACCTCCTCCAATGAACAGAAATGGCAGCACATCTCGGGCCCTGCCTGCCACCCCTCAGTTGCCATCCAGGAGTGGAACAGACAGTCCCAGAAGTGGGCCCCGGCCTCCTCTTCCTCCCGACAGGCCTGGCACTGGGGTGCCTCCCCCACCTCCACCATCGACATCAATTAGAAACGGCTTCCAAGACTCTTCATGTGAAGGTGAGGTGTGGTCCCGGCTCCTTGGAAATGTACAAGCTATAGTAGGGCAGCAGTTGAATGGCAGGTGTGTTTGTGTCTGTTTGTATGTTTGCATTAACATTTCGTGTTTGTGTGACCCTCATTGTTACCATACTGCACAGCACTAATCTAAGCACTGTAGGGCCCACCATGATTTCAAATGAAAAATAGTAATCCCCCTTCCTCCACTCCCCAAAAAGGCAGATCATTTTTCTCTGTTCCTTGTTTGAGTCTCATTTTGGTTAACTTTCCAGAGGTTCCAGAATTCTGAAAAGAACCATTTTTGTAGCTAACCTTATACCTACCTTTCTGAACAGTTCATGGTGGGTAAGAGGCCCAATGGCCTGCAGATATTGAGCAGCTTATCTCTGCCATTGTTATCAGAGGGTCCTAGTTATTCCTTCCACTGATGAAGGAATAATTAAGAAAGACATCCCAAACCTTAGTCCCCAGCTCCTGAGAGGGACTGGCTGGGTCCTAGTCACTCTAGTTAAAGTCACCTGGATCTGTCTTTGGTTTGATATGCAGACCACTATATTTTATCGCTGTGCTAATCAGTGACATTTGTAGCACTTCCAGCTTTTCTCTAAACTTCTAGACATAAAACCAGAAGCGATCTCTGCCATTCTCTCTGTATTTCATTCTGTGCCTTTCGTTACATAAGTCTTCAGAGAAGATTGTCTGTTACTGAAGATATTGTTTGTTTCTCTCCCTCAGATGAGTGGGAAAGCAGATTCTTCTTCCATCCGATTTCTGATTTGCCACCTCCAGAGCCATATGTACCAACAACCAAAAGTTATCCCAGTAAATTGGCAAGAAATGAAAGCCGGAGTGAGTATTTCTACAAGGGCAATTGGATGCCTTCATACTTGAGTAGCCTGGGTTATACACAACTGAGGGTTGTATAGGAAATCCAGGTCTCTTGCCTGGAGTGGGGCGATTTCAGAGAAATCACTCCTGGATTTGGAACCATATAAATTCTAGTAAACTCCCTTTCTACACTCATTGAGGAAAATGGAGACATCCAGAATGCATATGAGAAATGATTATTTTAATGTGTCATTACAAGCTCAAAATACCTTTAGTTTGCTAGTAGGTTAAATTTTATTATTTTGCTTGTTTGGACAATCTTTCCCCATTTTGATCTTCCTAAGATGGCACGATTAGAGCCATCTTCTATTCCTACTAGTTTTGGGACTGGCAGAATGTCTAATTATAACAAAAACTCACTGTAACTGCCTTGATCGTTTAAATATAATCATAACTTTACAGAGCATTACATGAAAATTTTAAGTATACCCATAATCTCTCTACATAACATAACAGATATTTTCATTTTACTAGGTTGTCTTCTAATTTTTATCCATCTAATTCTGATTAATTTATATAGTTTAATAATTATAGAGTATGGGTTTTGCTGATGAGATTTATATAACATTGCTGAGTAAACACTTCCCTATTTTATCACATGGTTTTTATTCTACAGAATTCCATCAAGTCAGCATATAATAATTTAGTTTACCATTATTGGACATTTAGATTGTTTTTTTCCTTATAGATGTAATGCTACCATAAAGAAGTGCATCAGTTTTCCCCTACTGAAAAGAAATACGTGAACAAGAAGAGGAAATAGAAAAACTGATATTTCACAACAATAAATGTATAGAACTAAGGAAGAATTAGCATGAAATATACATATATCACTGATGAGGCCCCATCTTGTAACAGCCTTAGCTTCAGACCAAACTCCCAAGCCAGAAATGAGTGGAGAAAAAGTGTTTGAGCATGTCAAAGAACTGTCACATGATCCTAGCCTTGTCCTCATTGCCCAGCAGAGCTCCTTCATGTACTCTGAGCCTAATGACTCTTTCTTAACACACAGTTCTTAATTTTTGCTTGGTTGGTTCCCAGCCTTAGAGCAGATTAATATCAGCTGAAGTCAAGGTTGGTTAGAAGCAAAATCACTGACTTCGGGGAGAAGAGATAGGTGGCAGTCTTGGGTTAAAGGAGGAGCTAGGAACACAGAGCTCTGCTAGGTATCACAGCACTGGACAATACAGTTGTTTCTGTTGGGTTATTAAGAACAAGACAAATTGTGCTTTGTGCTTCTGTTGAAGAATTCAAAGAATTAGAAAATATTTTAGAAAAATTTCCCTGAAAAAAATGCCAGAAGTAAACAGAATATTGCTGCTTGAAAGGACAAGTTTAATTCCTAGAAAAACTTATTTATGTGGAATACTGCATTCTAGATGATGCCTAATAAAAGAGGCATAACTGTAATAAAATTATCATACAAGAGTTGGTGGTTGAAATTTTTGGTGAAAAAGTCTTCACGTGGGAACAGCATCCTCGAGTTCTCTTCCCCCACCCCACTCTGTGCTATTTGTATATTTACGTCAATAACAGAGCCATCCTCCCCAGCCCCTCTAGATTTTTAATTTAATAGCTGAACACATTCCTTCCCCCCAGCTTCCTGTCTTTATGACTGTCCACAGCTTGAGAACTGGAACTAGGCCCTGCTCACTACTGCATCTTCTGAAAGTGGCACAGAGCTTGAAATACAGCAGCATTTAAAAATATTTCTTAGATCGGTAAATTAATTTCCACAGCCCTCCAAAAATGTTTTTGTAGCTTTAAAAAAATATTTCTAGCATTGGGCATGTTTAATATTTTATAATGATAATGGATCATCTCTCTAACACAAAGAAAGTACTATGGAGTGGTTTTATCCTGCTCCTGTACCTGCCTCAGCCTCCAGGCCCACTACCTGGTAGGGCACCCAGACAGCCCTGAACAGTGCCTCCTAACTGCAGCTTTGCACAAGGCCAGCCCTTGTTTTGCTCAACATTTGTGGCGTGTCAATTGACAGTCAAGTCTCCGTGACAGATAGCTGATTTACAACCAGATGAGTCTTTCCTCAGGTCCCTGCCCAACAAAAGACTTGGTTGGGATAAAAACAGGAAGAGGCAAGGTAATGGACTGCCACTGTTTTCCTCTAACTCCTCCCCTTGCTCAGAGATTTGTTCTAACTCAGGAATCCCTAAGTGGGCTACTTTGGTTGCTGTCAGGGAAGTGGTGGCCTGCTGAGGAATCCATCAATGCCAGTCCACCTGAGTATCAGAACTGTGGCCTTAGCAGACCTACTCGATTGACTCAAGTCCCTGGTAGACCTACTCACAGCATCTGAGCACCTGGTTTCATGCCTAAGACCTGTTAGATCCTCAAAACAAAATGTGCATGGGACAAATGAATTTTTTAATTGTGAATGGATTTTAAACCTAGTTATGGCATGCTGACAGCCCATGAATATGCATAGTTTTTAAAAGAACACTATCAATAGAGTGAAGAGAAAACCCATGAAATGGGATAAAATATTTGCAAATCATATATCTGATAAAAGGTTAATATCTGGAATACATAAAGAATTCCTACAATTCAACAACAACAAAACAACCCAAGTTTTAAAATGGTTGAATACTTGCATAGATATTTCTTGAAATAAGATATACAGCTTGCCAATAAGCACATAAAAAGATGCTCAACATCACTAATCATTAGGAAAACACAAATAAAACTACAAATAAAACTACCACTTTACACCTATTAGGATGGCTGCTATCAAAAAAGCATTGTTTAGAAATTAGAAGATATCTAAATGCCCAAAAAAAGGGGAATGATTAGATAGATAAACTACAGTATACTTATGTAATAGAATGCAATGTGTCATTAACAATTATATTTGTAAAGAGTAATGACTTTGAGAAATGTTCAAATGGACTATATATGATCCTGTTTTTGGAAGGAAAAAGGGAACTGTTTATATATGGAAAATATACATATAATGTTATTGGTTATCTCTGGGTGGTAAAAGCATTGGTGAAGTTTTGTTTTGTTTTTCTCATCCGTATTTTCTCAATCTATAATATATATATTATATGTAATGTATAATCACACATACTATGTGAAGAGGAAAAAAGTGACTTTTTAAAAACTTTAAGTTCGCACGAGTACTTGGTAGCCAGTGGTAGGTCATCCTTCTCTAGTAAAATTTGTTCAGATCCTTACTTGCTTCTTCCCCTCATCTCTCATGCACATGTGCAAGTTATTTACAGCCTTGATCATGGCGGGGGGCGTGTAGTGGGTTCTTTTGCAACCATTCTTAAGTTTTACAGTGAGAACATAAGCTTTCTAACCAAAATTTATATTTTGTCTATTTTTTCATCAAGGTGGATCCAACCGAAGAGAAAGGGGTGCCCCACCCCTTCCTCCTATCCCGAGGTGATCCTTGCCTGCTCTTCTCCACCCAAGCCCAAGAGCTCCTTCTGCTGTTGCTGTCCAAGTCGCACACCCTCCTTCTCTTGTCTTCCCTTGTCCCCTTCATGATGGCAATAGGGAAGAAGGGAGGTGATGTGGGAATGCATGTGTGCAGGGTGTGTATGCAGTAAAGAAATGCACCTCGCTTTTTATATTGTGTATATTCTTAAAGCTATTGCTTGCTTCAGCTATAGCCTGTTGGCTGCTTTGGGGATCAGTATAGGCTTTTGTGGCAAGTAGGCAGCAATGAATTGTGTCCCAGCTTTCAACCCATGAAATTCAAGCATTCACTGCTTTTTTGCTACAGATCACGATATTAAGGTCCCTGAGAGCTGTTTGCTTCCATGCCTTTTTTGCATGTTTGGCCTCCTGTTTCCATGAACCACAGACCACCTAAGCAAGTTGCTTATATGAAATGTTTGCAGTTACAGGCTGTCCAATCTTTGGCCGTCTTGGACAGAGCTGTCCAATAGAAATATAATGTGAGCCACATATACAATTTTACAATTTCTAGTAGCCACATTAAAAAGGAAAATAGGTGAAATTAACTTTAATATATTTTATTTAACCGACATCCAAAATATCATTTCAACCTGCAATCAATATAACAATTTTAATGAGATATTTTATATTCTTTTTTTGGTACTAAGTCTTCAAAATCTGGTATGTATTTTACACTTAGAACACATCTCCATTCAGACTTGTCACATTGCAAATGCTCAATAGCCACACATGGTTGGTGGCTTCCATGTTGGACAGCACAGGTCCAGAAGATAGAGGCTAGTGCAAAAACCTCTTGTTTAAAAAACAAAAAAGCAAGATGAGCTTTAGCAATTCAAGAGGTAACTAAAAATAAAGTTAGGACCCAACACCTTGTTTGGCAAACAGCTTTCCTTAGATTTTTCTCCCTTATTTCCCTCTTCCCTGGAAATCTGTATGCAGATGTTGCTTCACAGTACCAAGGTCAGAAATTGATATAATAGGGTTTACAGTCATGTGGAATAAAGCCATTGGAGAGAAACTGAAAGCCAGTTGGGGCTCTGGGGCTTAGAAGCAGCTGCCTTGAGCTCATCTGTCGGTTGGCCTCCTGCCTTATGCATGGGAAGTGGCTTCATTCCTCTCCAGCTCAGCGTGCTCCTTAGGGCAGGAGGCTCATAGGCTCCATAGTTGCGGGGAAAGTCAGGGAAAGGTAGCAAATCAGAAACGTGGAAGAAGGGGACAGTTTTGAGTTGATGGACAAAACTCTAAAAATCTAAATCTGGTGATTATGGGGTTGAGAGAAAGAGACTGCTGCAGGAAATTGGAGGGAACTTGTTTTGAATCTTTCTGGGAGAATCATTTGCCTTGGATCTATGCAAATAAAGCTCCCCCAGAGGACCATAGGGATGAGCCAGCCTTGCCCTTTTTGTATGGTTTTGTTTACAAAACTTTACTGGGACTTTTAAATCTAGCTATACACTTGGAAAAAAAGATTTCCATTTAGATGTTTTATACGGTTAATTATGTTTAAAATTTACCATTACTTATTTTTTTAAAGTTCACAGCTATATATGTATATGTATATCTACCTAAACTTTGTATTATGGTTTCAGTGAATTGTTCATGTATTACTGGGAGATGCTAACAAGAAATCAATCCAAAGAAAAATTTGAAAGAAGCATCCCTATGTATAGAATAAATGTTTCATTTATATAAAAGCAAAAGAACTTAGCGTTCTAATAATGGGATGTCTAATAACTTATGAAGTTGCCCATTTGAATCTGTTGTATTTTTATAACTTTCCTTGCCAAAGTCCTGGGCTTATTAAGTACATTAGAGAATTTGGGTTCCCCGCCCACCACCATTAATTTGTCTTTCATACGTTCACTTGGGGGCCTTTACCCAAAGAAAATCAAGAAACATAAAGGTGTGACAAGCTTGGCAAAGTATTTTCAAAAAAAGTTTTCAATCTCTAATATTTTGGTAATATAGCAGCATCATCTTATTTTGAATTCTTTGATCAGATATCAATAGTTGGTAAAAATCCCTATGATAAAGCCTAATGACCCACTTCAGAAAAGATGGAGTTGGGCCTTCCTAGCAAATATGGCAGAGAAAAGTCTGACCCAAAGAAAATGGGTCTGAATTTTGTAAAGTGTAGTTAAGTATGGCCAATTTCCTTATATATCCCAATTTTGCAGATACCATCCTAAGTTTGAAGCAGGGTCACAGCTCAGAGTTGCTATTCATCCAGGATAGAGATGTTTTAAAATGTATTTTTTAAGTGAATATTCCATTAATACATGTACACCCTTTCTTTGAAAGTTAGAAACCTAATCACATCCCAAAGTTTGAATGAGGTTCTATGCTAAAATCGTCAACTATGGCAGATCACAAAAATTAATAGTTACTTCCCTGAAACCAGAACTTACATGTGTTTTTTCCCCATAAAATTTCCAGATAAATGTATTCAAGATGCAATACAGTATCTTAATATTCACATATTTTATAATGAAATGTATTACAGTATTAAAATTCAGTGTTCAGTATTTATTTCAATATGCATTTTATTTAGTAAAAACCAAGAAAAATGTTTAATCCAGTGGTGCCTTACTTGGTGATTTGCAAGAAATTGACTTTTTATGTCTAAGTAGCAGATTATTTGCATATTTGTAAGAACTGTTAGGCCTTTATAGTTTAACTTGTAATACCAATTTTGTTATTTTAGTAGCAGAAATGTGATGACTGTTAAAGTGCCCAAAATTTTCTGGCATGAAATTAATTTTTCCCTATTTATAGTCAGGGGCTGTAAAGAAAGAAAATGTTTTTCATACCACTGCATTATGTAAACATGCACATTTTGGTACCTATGTCATCAGGGTAGTTTATATGGTGGGGTAGGACCTACCCTAGACATCTGTGTCTTTGTAAGTTAGCCAGACAATAAATAAATGCAGAATGATAAGACTGTCATCTGGTGGGTTTTATTTTAAGTACTCTCTATACAAATATAAATAAATGAAAAAGCAAGTGTCTGTTTTCTGCTTTATACTCTGGTAAAGAAAGACAAACTCAAAAAAAAAGAAGAAGAAGAAGATCCACAAAGTAAATATTCAGTGCATCCACTTTCTAATCCCCTTGATTTCCTGAGAACTTGCATTTTAGTCAAAATCTGTAGTCTGCTTCCTTGAGGCAAATGCTGCTTCTACTCTGAAGTAAAGGATGGATGGTGGAAGCAATGGAAGATGTAATTACAAAGATTATCACTGACACTGATAAACAAGGAAAGGCCAATGGGAATTTAGGAGGCCTGATAGTTTTTCTGTTTTGGGGGGTTTTTTTGGACAATTACTGTATTTCTAAAATAAAAAAAAAAAATGATTTGCAAACTGAACTTAAACATTTGTAAAAACTGAGATTCTTAATTTATAGCTTCAATAAATTCAGTACTAAGCTGTACTACAATAACCTTTCTTTCTGGACACAAAAATTCTCTTTTAAAAACTCCATTGATCATTCCCATTGTGATCTCAGAGACACAGTAACCTACTTCAGTGCTTGAGATGGAAAAAGCACAGAGAAAACCTTAAGTTAGTTGTCTTTGACTTTTAAAATCCCTCTCCAATCTCCAGGTTAGTGTAGCTTCCTTCAGTCTTGGTAATCTTGACACTGAAGCATAACTGACTTGACCTTTGCCCCTTTCCTCCTTGGGGATGCCACTGGAGGGCAGGCAGAAGCACAAGATATAATTTCCCCCACCTGGCTTCCTAGACAGGAATTAATTGTAAACATCTCTATTCCTTTCCTAACTTTATCTCTTTTGTTGGCTTTCCAACCTCACTCTTCTCCTGCAACTATTCCCAACAAGCAATTAATTCACTTAGAGAATTTCTCAGGGTTCAAAAAAAGGTATCCAGAAGTGAATTCAGGTATACCAGAATTCTGTATTAGGGACACATGCAGTGGGGGAGGTGGTATGCATCTGCTGTTCCTTGTCTCCATGACTACGATGTCCTCTCTTCTCTTGGTCTAACTTACTCCTCAGTTTTCAAAATCTCATCTTTTGCTGACTGCTTGAATATATTTTTCAGGGACATACTTTACCCGCCTCAACATTACTGAGGGACTTCCCTGGTGGTGCAGTGGTTAAAAATCCACCTGCTGGGCTTCCCTGGTGGCGCAGTGGTTGAGAGTCCGCCTGCCAATGCAGGGGACACGGGTTCGTGCCCTGGTCCGGGAAGATCCCACATGCCACGGAGCGGCTAGGCCTCTGAGCCATGGCCACTAAGCCTGCGCGTCCAGAGCCTGTGCTCCGCAACGGGACAGGCCACAACAGTGAGAGGCCCGCGTACCGCAAAAAAAAAAAAAAGAATCCACCTGCTAATGCAGGGGACACAGGTTCAATCCCTGGTCCAGGAAGATCCCACATGCCATGGAGCAAATAAGCCCGTGTGCTACAACTACTGAGCCTGCGCTCTAGAGCCCACAAGTCACAATTACTGAGCCCATGCCCCACAGCTACCGAAGCCCACATGCCTAGAGCCTATGCTCTGCAACAAGGGAAGCCACCGCAATGAGAAGCCCACGCACCGCAACAAAGAGTAGCCCCCGCTTGCCGCAACTAGAGAAAGCCCACACGCAGCAACAAAGACCCAACGCAGCCAAAAATAAATTTAAAAAAGAAAAAAAGATTACTGAGACTTTTTCATGCTGCTGTCCACAGCTATTTGTTAGTCCATGCTATGACTATATCACATTTATTCATTTCACTGTTGATGGAAATTTCAGGTTGTTTTCAGTCTTTTTATTTATTACAAATAATGCTGTTATAAATAATTGTATACTTGTCTCCTGGTGTACATTTGCAAGAATTTTGCTAGTGTCTATAAGTGTGTAGGAATGGAATTGACGGGTCAACTTTAATAGGTGATGCACTGATTTCTACCGTGCTGCAGCATATGTGACATCCTCTTGCTCCATGTCTTTATGAACACTTGATTATCGGCAAGGTTTTTAGAGAAGTTTCTTTAGCATTTCTCTTTTTCTTATAAATTTATTTATTTTTATTTTTGGCTGTGTCGGGTCTTCATTGCTGCACGCGGGCTTTCTCTAGTTGTGGTGAGCGGGGGCTACTCTTCGTTGTGGTGCGTGGGCTTCTCATTGCAGTGGCTTCTCTTGTTGGGGAGCGTGGGCTCAAGTTGTTGTGGCACGCGGGCTCAGCAGTTGTGGCGCACAGGCTTAGTTGCTCTGTGGCATGTGGGATCTTCCCGGACCA